GGCTATGTTATCAGAGTGCCATTTAAATCATTAGTTCAGTTCAAACGCAGCTCACAGTCTATTTTTTTACTTCCAAAGGCTTCCTTCTCCTCCCCCAAACAGGGAGGGCCAACAATCAGAGTCCCAGCAAATGTGTTTTCCACAGCAAACAGAGTCCCACACAGTCTAAGAATTGTATATCCAAAAGGAGAGAAGGTCCAAAGTGTACAGCTTACAGCAGATTTTATTCTCTCAAAGCCTGTCCAGTGTCCAGAAGTTTTTCCCTTAATAAAAACACAAGCTGTTTCTGCCTGGCTGTTCTCTTAAAATCCACACGACCTTGATCAGCTTAATTACGAGCTGACATGCTAAATACGCCACTCCTCCTTATCTCATTTCTGTCATAAATTTTCACACAATCACTTGTTCTTCATTTTAATGGGGTTTTTCATAGAACAAGGGCTCCCACTTACTTTATTTATATTTTCGCCGTGCTTCTTGTTCTCTTATTCTCGGCGCTGAAGCTGTCCTGGTTTGTTGCCAAAAATGGCGCCATCTTCAGTCTGTGCTAATGTGAATTTCCAGAAGAAAGAAAAATCGAGTTGCTGCCCAATCTTCTAACTTCTGTGGCTCACACAAGCTTCAGGAGTGTCTCTTCTGACCCCCCTAAATTTCCCCCATTCCTAGGAGGATCCCAGACTGAAGCGGTTCTAGTTTCTCCGGGAGCTGTTCCCAAGAGCTGCTAGCTTCACCAGGACGAAGCTCCTCCTCCCCATCTTGATGTGGGGGCGCTCACCACTTTGTTCTATGTGCTCATAGTCTCAAGATCAGACTACTGTAATGCACTCTACATGGGACTGCCTTTGAGAGTGACGCAGAAGCTTCAGATGGTACAGAATGCGGCAGCCAGTCTTCTTACTGAGGTGAAAAGATACCATCATATTTCCTCCACTCTGGCCACATTGTGTTGGGTGCCCATTCATTTCTGTGTTGATTTCAAAATTCTTACAATTACCGATAAAGCCCTAAACGATTTAGGACCTCAATATCTGGCAGAGCACCTTCTCCCACCCAGTTCTGCCAGAGTCACTCATTCCAGCCAGGCCAGGCAGCTGAGGGGCCTAACGCCAAGGGAGGTCTGGAAGGAAAGAAGGAGGAAACGGGCCTTCTCGGCAGTGGCTCCTCACCTTTGGAACAACTTGCCAGTGGAGATGTGCTTGGCTCCCTCTCTGGGTGTTTTTAGGAATAAACTTTAAACCTGGCTATTCGGGCAGGCTTTCCCTCTTGCCGTATCTTAATTTCTTATGCTCTCGCCACCTTGGATCTATAATATATGTTTATTGTTTTTAAATTCGTAAACTGCCCAGAGTAAACCTTTGATCTAGATAGGTGGGAAAGAAATCCAATAAATAAATAAATATTTATTTATGGCCTCCTTCAAATTTGTGTCAGGGCCCCTCAAGGAGGCCATAGGGCCTTGTTGAGAACGGCTGCCCTAAAGAACCGAATAAGGGCCCATCTCATCTAGCATCTCTTTTTTTGCCATAACAGTCAAGCAGGTTCCTCTGGAAAGCTGACAAGAAAGGCCTCATAGCCTCAGACCTCAGCTGGTGCTCCCCAGCATATGATATTCAGTGGAGTACTACCTTTTGAATCCCTCAGGTGTTGAATATCCATCATGAATAGTTATTGCAGATTTAGGCCTCCTATTAAGCAGGGTGAAATGTCTTGCTGAGGCGGTGGATGCCAGATTGTGTGTGAAAGAAGCACGAAGGGCAGTCCTCTGCCCGTTTCTCCTGAATCCTCTGGTGGTCCCCCTCTGTTTAGGTGTTTTATGTTGTACTCCAGTGTAAGACTCAATTGTCAGTCTAGTCAGTTTCTTCATGTGGAATGGGGGGCAGAAGGGGGTCATTTCCTCAGGTAACCTTGAGCCATTACCAAAACTATGTCCTCCATTAATTTACCACATTCTTCTTTAAAACTAAGCTAGTGGCCACTGATCATCATGTCATGTGGTAGCAAATTCCAGTTGTATCGTATGAAAATGTACTGAATTTAGTCTCTGTTCAGTCTTTCTCTTTTTAATTAATTTCACTGGAGTAGCTCAAATTCTATTATAAGAGAGAGAGAGCAAGCAAAAATGAGTGTAGGAAATGGAAGAAGAGAAGTAGTCAGGAAAGACATGAAGAAGTAATCGGGAAAGAAAGGCCTTGATTTCAAAGGAAAGATGAGCCTGTGTCAGAACACCATAGTTTAAGGATGTGGAAAGGAATTTATATAGCAGATGTTCTAAATAGACTGCAGGAGATACTGAGGAAGAGGTTGATATTGAATGACACCTAGAAAAGTGGGTAAATAGAAACAGAGGAGGAGGGTGGATCTTAGAAATGATGAGTCAAAGATGGGAAACAAATTAGACAATATTTAGTGTTGTGGTCTTTTGAGACAGGAGTATTGTAGAATCTCCAAAAGTGACAGAGACATATAGCTGTCATATAGGTCTCTGTTGGTGGAGCCAGAAGTTGGGAGTTCAATTCCCCACTGTGCCTCCTTGAGAAGGGCTGGACTCAATGATCCATAGGGATCCTTCCAGCTCTGCAGTTCAAAGATAATGATGATTGCAGGTGGTTGCTTTTGCATGTGGCAGTCTGTTGAATTTGCTTCACTGAACTGTGTGACTACACAGCTTCTGCCTCCCATTCAAAACAGGAGCAATATATATATATATATGTAGAAGGGTTCTGCCTGGCTGTTCTCTTAAAATCCACAAAGATGATGATGATTGCAGGTGGTTGCTTTTGCAAGGTTTGAGCAGGTGTCTCCCCTGAGAGCCCAAGATCTCACTGATCTTCCTGCTGTACACTTGCTTTCATCAATGGGAGAATGATTGGGAAAATGCATGCAGAAAGATGTACACATTTTGTAGAAGAAGTGCCCCACAATTTCATATAGACTTGAATTGGAGTACGTTTTGAGATAAAAATTGAAACATCTTAATTAGCATGAATTTGGTGGACATACTCATTATTATGGAGTTGTCTATATCCCGAGTAAACCATTGATCTGGTCTGGGGAGGATCAGGCTGGAAATTATTGCCCATCATGCAAAATCACCAGCTTCACTTACCAGTTGGCCCATCAGGAGATTTGTGTGTGCCATACTAGTGCATGTGCATGGCAGCTGTAAAGAGGTTCTTCATATGTGCAGAAGGTGGAGACTGGTTGGGTCTACAGAATGTGATACCGTGTATAATTGAACGAGGGCAACCTGGGTACAGTAGTTCCTGGTTACACTACTCTATGAAATTTAGGAAAGACTGCTCTTTAAGATGCACTGATGCTGCAGCAAGTGCAGTATGCGGCCGCTAGACTGGCAGGAACACCTTTCATAGTCCATGTGACACTGCTTCTAAAAGAATTGCATTGGCTGCTAATATGCATTTGATCTGAGTTCTAGCTGTGATGATAACCCATCACTCCCTAAACTGCTTGGAACCTGGATGCTTTAGGGACCAACTCTCCCTATATTCAACCTCCAATTATTGTCTACTGGAAGGGGGACTCCTCTCTGTCCTTCTATGGAGATAGGGGAGCACTTTCTTGTCTATAGCAATAGCTCCTCAGTTATGGAATATTCTCCCCTTACTAAAACTCCCAGAAGCCTTCATTATTAGCTGTATTGGCCAAGATTTCTGGGAGTCCTAGAACATCTGGAGACCCACGGTTGTCAAGAACTGCCTTAGAGGCTTAACTGGAGCTGGGTTAAAACAAGGTTCTCCACTGAGGCTTTTGGAGATTAAGGATTCTTAGTTTAATGTACAATATGGAGGTTTCAATGGTTTTAAAACATTGCATTGTTTTTCACTGTTTTTATATTGTGCTCAGGGTAGAGCGGAATATAAATATCCTCAATAAATTTAAAAATACCACAAGATAGCTTTGACTTTGAACTTCCCCCGTCTGAGATTATCAGAGGCTATTTGGGTTTGAGCATAAATAAAGTGTGCAGGCACATTCCTTTCTACAAGCAGCTTTTAAATAAAAGTACTGTATTACCAATATCTTTTTCGAAAGTAAAATTGCTAAATGAGTGCTGGGGAATGTTTTTTGCCTCCATAAATGTTATATTAAAGCTCTGAAAATCCCTTATCACTGGAAGATCTAGCATGGTTTTATCACAATTTGCCTGGCAAGATTTACAGACAAATAGTGATTTGTTTGTTGCTATTCTATATGTGTATCATAATATCTAACTTCTTATAAACTAATAATATAAATTATTTGTCTTCTTTCTTGTAAAAAACAAGTGGCAATGCTGTCTTGAAGTAGAAAAACCCTTTCAATCCCTTCTACCTTGATTTCAACATGAATTGCCTTTGGAAATGATTTTTACTTGTTAAGTATGACTAATGACTTGATGGATATCATTTAGTTACCAAAACTGGATTACAAAATCTGCAAGAACCTGCTACTGTGTAACTGAGTTTGGCATGTAACAAATAAATTGTATGACTCAACATGTGATATCATTAAGGAGATGTTGGGAAAATGTTATCACATCATTGGGGCAGAATGATCTATCAGTGTAGATGAGTGTATTGTATATCTATATATAGAAATAATCATATGCATACTGTATGACTGATGAGTATTTTTTAAATAACAGGTCGAACAGTTGACTGAAGAACAAAAAAATGGTAAGTCTATGCCATTTATTTTCCCAGTTTTCTCAAAAAGGGGTAATTCACCCCATTATCCACTTGAATTTGAGACAAAAATCTTGAGATTTAGCCAATGGATAGGTAATGCATAGGTAAAACAGAATAATTTTTATTTAAATAAAAATGTATGTACTATATTTCCTAATAAAATAAACACAAACCAGTTCACAAAAAAACTGCTGTCATTCCCTTCTTCTGGGGGGCACCGGGGACTGCAGCTTGCCCAAGGCCACACAGGCTGGCTGTTCTTGCAAGAGGCACAGTGGGGGACTCCTTACATCTGGCTCTGCAGCCAGATACCTAAACCACTGAGCTATCCAGCCACCTTAGTAGTGTATATAAAACACAATAAAAACTGTCCAGATATCTAGAATTCATGTCATACCTTTAAAACTAATAGGATAAAACAATTCAACATACACACAGGGAGACAGAAACATTTGGTGAAATGAAAACATCTGGCAGCTCGCTGGAAGCTTGAAAGAGAGCCGGTGAACCTCCCTAGAGAAAGGGTGCCACAATGTATTTTATTTATTTTGTTTTATTAATTACATTTATACCCCCCTATCCAGTGCTAAGGCACTACTCCAAATCATTTCTGCAGATGCCTTTCTCTGGACCTTGGATGACTGTCCTGCCCCTAAATTGAAAAGAAAATGATGCTAAAAAGGTCCCCTGTACGCTCTGGGATATGGGGTGTTTCAAAAAATAATTTTGCTATATTTCCCCCAGGCCTATTGTAGGCAATAGGGGAACATTTTTCAAAAACTGTTTTGTGACCCATTTGAGGGCAGAGCACCCTTCTAGCCCTAGAGCACACCTGAGAATCAGAAAACATGGCAAAATTGGCACCCATTTCCTTGAGGGCAGGAGGGACCCCTCTTTAAAAATGTATATAAATAAAAGAAAGGTGACATGGGGAGTTCATATTGTTGGAGAACTACACTGGGGCTGTAGATCGGACTTGGTCCATCACTGCTATGTACTAATCTTTATCAGGATGTCACATTTTATGCTCCCACTTTAATCAGACATAATGGCCAAAATCCTGTTGGGAAAAACTGCACTCATTGGGGTAATTGTGCAGGTGGTTTTCACTTGTAGCTTGCTATCCATCACACTGCTGGCCAGGCAGTGATTTATGGAACTAGGGCATGGAGGGGAGCATAATAGACAGAGAGCAATGAGGCAGGATGGCTTGCAGGGTAGGATTGTGGACGATATTTTCATTTTTTTAAAGCAGACTGAGGAGTAGGTGTCCATTCCATATGGGGAATATAGCACTCTGGGCACAGCAGAGGAGAGCATTCTTGATGGCTCGTGATTTATTGTCCCCTCAAGGAGAGTCTCATTTTATGTGTTTTTAATTTAAAATGAGTACAATCCAGTTTAACATCTATTTCTACTTCTGACAGTAAGGTATAAACTGTATCCAAAGATTGAGGAAATGTTGCAGTTTGTTTTCAAGTTCAGCCAGCTGTATTAAGTATTGTGTGAAATCCACAGTGATCGTGTGTGAATTCAGTGAGCTTTTTGAGCTTTATTGGTCCCATTTATACTGGAGAGATAATCAATTTAATATTAGTTGAAGAAAAGAATAGAATGCTACTGGGTGTTTTCTGTCAATCATGGTCGGAATCTGTTGTCTGCAGTCAGTTAGCTTTGAAGCTTTCTTGCTGTTAATTTCCAACAAAGGGAAACACTATTTCTCTTTCTGTCTCCTTCAGAATTCAAGGCGGCTTTTGACATCTTTGTCCTGGGTGCAGAGGATGGATGCATCAGCACAAAAGAGCTGGGAAAAGTGATGAGAATGCTGGGGCAGAATCCTACCCCCGAGGAGCTACAGGAGATGATTGACGAAGTAGATGAAGATGGTGAGCTTTTTCTTCTGGATGGTCGTTGATAACTGGGGAAGGAATGTGTTGAAACAAGCATGTCATTTTGTTTGTATGGAGCAGAAATAAGGAAGTAGAATTGTCCCGTGTGCCCTTACATGCATTTAATGTCACAGTTTGTTGAAGAAGTGGCTGAAACATTAGTAGCCTTCCCCCCACCCACCTTCATCTTCTTTTTTTAAATTCTTTTATTCATTTTCCATTAGGTAAGATCATAGGGAAGAGCATTTGGATCAGGGTATTGGGGTAAATAAGAATACAGAATGTGATAGAGAGCAGTATATACGATTATTACATTTGTCGATATTGTTTTCTTACTAAGCTTACTTCACACATCTTACCATTTTTTTCTAAGTCTTTAAAATCTAAAATTATATCTTATATTTTCTTTCTCATAATTTTAACCCATTCATGTCCCCCCAACCTTCATCCGAGGTTCCCGAGCCCTGCTATTAGGCAGAGAGGAGCCTAAGGGTATCATGACATGACAGCTGTCATTAAAGTGCAATTAAAGTTTGCTATTCTGCTGCCACGAGTATGAGGGTTTTTTGGGGGGAGGGGATTTCTTCTTCATGTGCCAAAATAATTTGCCTTGCTTTGGGTACTGTGCACTTGATGTGGGTGGATGGAGGGTGAACACTGGCCAAGACTTAATGTGGATGGTAACAATTTACATAAGTATCACATTAGGAGCAAAATTTTGACATTAGCAGGTTCAGCTTCTCCCAGTATTGTAAATGGGCCTTATTTAATAATGCTTCAAAATTTTGCATACAGAAAGTCATTCAATTTGACAAATAAGTTACCTTAGATTTCTCTTTCTTCTTGATTTATTGGCAGGAAGCGGCACTGTAGATTTTGATGAGTTCTTAGTTATGATGGTGAGATGTATGAAGGATGACAGCAAAGGAAAGTCTGAAGAGGAACTTTCAGATCTCTTCAGAATGTTTGATAAGTAAGTGTGTTGCGTTGATCATGGAGGAAGACAGAGATGAGGAATGGGTATTCTTCTATATGTTGTTGGGCTGCAACTCCCACGATCTCTCACCATTGGGTTTGTTGGCTAGGGCTAGTGAGGGTTGTAGTCCAGTAACATCTGAAACACATTCTCCGCCCCAGCTTAGAGAGTTATGAAGTTGAGCCAATGTGCTTCTCAAACCCCTCGTTTACCCTTGGATTACTAGGAACAGGAATGATGCAACAACGCTGCTGCTGTTGTTGGTACATGCCATAAAGTCATCTCCAGCCCATGGTGACCCTATCAGTGAGCTGTCTCCAAAAAAATTTCCTGTCCTCAAAAACCCACTCAGTTCTCAAAACTCAAGTCTGTGTCTTCCTTTAGATAGTCAATCCATCTTGTATTTGGCCTTCCTTTTTTCCTGCTGCCTTCAACCTTTCCCAGCATTATTATTTTTCCTGAAAATCTTCCCTTCTCATAATGTCCCTAAAGTAAGATAGCCCCAGTTTCAATATTTTCCCTCCAGATCAGGTTCATGCTGAATTTGCTCTATGACCCACATGTTTGTCTTTCTGGCAGTCCAGGGTACCCACAAAGCTCTCCTCCAGCACCATGTTTCAAATGAATCTTTTTTTCCTGTCAGTTTTCTTTACTGTCCAGCTTTTACTGCCATACATGGTGATCGGTAATACAAATTATCTTGGTCTTGGTCTCCAATGACACATCCTTACATTTGATGATCTTTTCTAATTCCATCTTTGCTGCTCTTCTGAGTCTTAGTCTTCTTCTGACTTCTTACATGCCATCTCTCTTTGGATTGATGATTTAACCAAGATATACAAAATCTCTTACCTATTTCAAATTCTTTATTCTCAGCGTTAAAGTTGTATAGTTCTGTAGGCATGATTTTGGTCTTCTTAATGTTCAACTGCAGTCCTGCTTTGGAATAATAATCATAAAATAATGAAGTCATCAAGTCTAACCCCCTGTTTAATGCAGGAATACAAATCAAAGGATATCTACAAGGTGGTTGTCTAAATTTCTCTTGAATACCTCCAGTGTTGGAACACTCACTATCTCTTGAGGTAATTGATTCCATTGCTGTACTGCTCTAACAGTTAGGAAGTTTATTCTGATATTCAACTGAAATCTGGCTTCCTTTAACTTCAGCCCATTGTTGCATGTCCTGTACTCGCGGATGATTGGGAAGAGATCCTGCCCCTCCTTTATTTTACAGTCTTTCAAGTATTTAAAAAGTGCTATCATATCTCCCCTTAGTCTTTTTTTCTCAAGGCTAAACATGCCCAGTTCTTTCAGTCTTTCCTCATAGGGCTTGGTTTCCAGCCCCCTGATCATCCTTGTCACCCTCCTCTGAACTTGTTCCAGTTTGTTAGCATCCATCTTAAAGTGTGGTGTCTAGAACTGGACACAATACTCAAGGTGAGGCCTAACCAGTGGTGAATAGAGCAGAACTAGTACTTCACAGGATTTGGAGACTATACTTCTGATAATGCAGCCTAAAATAGCATTTGCCTTTTTTGTAGCCACATCATGCTGTTGGCTCATATTTAGCTTGTGATCTATGACGATTCCAAGATCCTTCTCACTCGTCATATTGAGGAGCCAGGTATTCCCCATCTTCAATGTTTGTGATATTTTCCTAGATTAAGCATTTTGCATTTTGCTCTGTTAAATTTCATTCTGTTGTTTTCAGTGCTCAAGCCTATCCAGCTCATTCTGAATTTTGTTTCTGTCTTCCAGGGTATTAGCTATTCCACCCAATTTTGTGTCATCTGCAAATTTTAACAGCTCCACTAAGTTATCTTTCGGTTACTTCCCATTTGATTCTTTATAAAGCTCACAGCTTTCACAAACCCTATAATTAAGTTTGTAAGTCAAGGTTCCACTGTATCCCTTGAAATACAGTCGTGCCCTGCTGGACGATTACCCCGCTCTATGACGAATCCGCTTAACGTTGACGTTTTTGCAATCACTTTTGTGATCACAAAACGATGTTTAGATAGGGGAATTTCGCTTCACGTTGATCCGTTTCCTGCTTCAGGAACCAATTTTTCACTTTACAACAATCAGCAAACAGCTGATCGTTGGGGTTCAAAATGGCTGCCAGCTGTAGAAAAATCCCCCCCGCTGTTTTCAGGACTGTTTTTTCACTAGACAGGCACCAAAAATGGCCACTGTATGGAGGATCTTCTCTAGACAAGCAGGTACTTAGCCCATTGGAACACATTGAACAGTTTTCAATGCATTTCAATGGGTTTTTTTTATTTCGTTTGATGACGATTTCGCTCTAGAGATTTCGTTGGAACAAATTAACCTCATCAAGTGAGGCACCACTGTACTGTATGAAGAACGGTGACATGCATTTTTTCTTATTCCTCATTATGGATGACAGACAACAGAATATAGTCACTTCACTGAAATGCAGAAAGATTCTTGTCTCTTCAAGATGTTTGGGACTTTAACTCCCAAAAGTCCCAGCTAGTATAACCATTCATAAGTGATCATGAGAGTTGTAGACCAAATCATTTGCAGGCAGAAAAGCTTGCTGTTCCTTTGTAATGTGATATGTGGTGAGAATTGCTCAATAAATACTTGTGGTGCTAGAAACAGTGGAGTTAAAATATAAAGCAGTAATTACAGCTGAAAGCACTGCTGATGTTAGAGACAGTCGATAGTCTTTTGGGATTGGGAAAAAGTTTTTCTTCTCTGATAATGGACTAACTTTAGTATCTGTTATTGCCTTTGATTTATTGCAGCAAAAGTAACAAAGAGTGATGGCACATTAAAGACTAACAAATTGTATTTGATGTAAACTTTCTGTAGATTATAACCCACTTTGTCCAATAAAGGGCATAATCCAATAAGGGATAGAATTCTTTTTTTAATAAACTCTTTTTTTATAAGAAATGCAGATGGGTACATTGACCTGGATGAATTAAAGCTCATGCTACAGGCTACAGGAGAAACCATAACTGAAGATGACATTGAGGAGCTGATGAGAGATGGAGACAAAAATAATGATGGCAAGATTGACTATGATGGTGAGTGACCACAGGTGTGTGTTGTTTGGCATATGAACAATGATGCTTTCAGGTGGTAAAACTACTTTTTAAAACAATTAAAAATGTGTATATATTTAAGATCACCATGGGGTGCAAAACTCAGAGTCACATTGTAAAGGTCAAAGTTATTCCTTCCAGCTAACTAAACTAGGGAGAATTCAAGTGTGTTGTACATACACTGGTCTTGGAATTAAATCACATTCTTTCTGCATAATAGTCCTCTTCCTTAAGGCGGTAGCATCTGATGATTCTTCCAGAGAGGGGAACACAGGACAACACAATATGAGAGTAAAGTCTTGGTACTACAAAGATCTGTCAGTGGTGCTAGAACTACTTAACTCTACGCATATTGGATTTTAGCCATTGTGTCTTTAAATATGCAGGCTGAGATATGATGACACAGTGATTTTCATTTAGAAAGTAGTACAGAGTAAATTCATAAACTGTGCTTTATAGAAGGCAGCCAATAGACACATGGTGCGCATAAGCAAAATTTACTTTTGAGGAGGATGGTTGTGAGAGAAGGGAGGCTTAATGGTAGAAGAATCCCCTGCATGGAGCAACAGGCATAGGATAGGGAAGGAAACAGTGAGGGGTTGAATTTTGCTTTACTTTTCCAAATGTTACTTTATCCCACAAGCATTTCCATTTTTCTTTTTCTGGCAGAATTCCTGGAATTCATGAAAGGTGTTGAGTAAACCTGAACTTTCTGGAAGATCAAGCGCATCTTTGAACACCCACCTTTAATTTCATCTTGAGTCATTTCATCAGTTCTGTTTCCTTTGTTCTTTGCATGGCATCATGTGCTGAACATGGTGAACATCAGGAAAATACAAAAGCATCTCTTAAGTGCCTCAAACGGTCAATCTATGGGTATTTATTTAGTTGGGTTACTGGAATTCTATTATTGCTTTTAGTTCTATTGATCATAATGTATGAATTAAGAGTTACAGTGAATAGTTAGGCTTGAATGACTGTTGAGACATTTAAGAATAAGAACATTTAAGCCAAATATTCTGATCTAAGAATAGAACATCCAAGCTCTTCTTTTCTGTACCTCATCCCTGACGAATGTTATATGTGGAATACAGTGTCTGTAAAAAAATTGTATCTTTTTTTGGAATGCTAATAAAAGTATTAGAAAACCAGAGCGTTTGTTAGTGATCTAGGCTAGTGTTTGTTCTTGATGGTTTTATTGAACATAATCAACCTATCATGCATTGCTGAGGCAGGCTTTTCAAGACCTTCATTTTAAATTCTGCTATTTAGTGAATACATAGAGACTGTATTATCTGAGGTTCCCTGAATGCCCCAGTTCTGCACCCAGCCAGTATCAGGAATCTGTCTTAAGCAAAGCACGAATTTAGAAAAGTTGGAAAACTGGTGCTAATAGTCGGAGAGTGGTTCTTCAAAATAAATAAATAAAATAAATAAAATGTAAAAGCGCCACTGCTGAATCTGCAGCGGAAATGGACACTATAGTCCAAGAGCAAAAGGGCACAATTCAACTCATCCTGCCCACCACTGTTTTTTTAAATTTATTTATTTATTTATTTATTTATTTATTTATTTATTTATTTATTTATTTAATATCCTGCCTATCTAGTCCGTTAAGACCACTCTAGGCGGCTTTCTCCACAGAATAATATATTTACACTAATTATACATGAGTTCACATATACTTGGTTGTCATCCATCAGCTTCTTTCTCCCCCAGCCCCATAGCTTTTTAACTAAAGGTGTATGTTAACATCTTTAAAAACAAGTGTTGCTCTTCTTGAGAATCAGCTGATAGATTGGAAGACTGTGTCATGTATTTCCAAGCCCTAAAGCAGGCTCCGTAATATCCTTATATAAGTGCTAAAGTTCTCGTTGATTTCACATTGAACTTACATTTATTCATCTTGGTCTTAAATGACCATGGGCACAAAAGATTAGATTCCCACGTATACTGCACTGCCAGATGGGTCTGATAAATAAAAACAAGCCTGTTTCCAGAGTAACAGCAAATGTGTCTTCTAATACAGTAGTATGGCTACAGGGCTGTTTATTTTCTCCCACATCCATTTTCCAGGCAAAAAACAACAACACTGAAAACAAAACCTGGACACAAATGAAAGGGATAACATATTGCTGTATCTACTAGACAGCATCTTTTGTGAGAGGCATAATAGGAGACTTAGGAGAGATCATCATCCTTTGCACAGAGACCACTGCTCGCAAACAAAATGAAATGATGAATCATTCTCTATTTTCTTCCAATGTTACAACTTTCCCGGGAGCCAATGCAACATGTAACTTCATCACCTGCTCGGATCAGGCCAGCAAAAAGAGATACAAGTTTGGTCTCGGAGTGTTGATGATTCTTGGTACATTCCTGGGCATCTTGTTCAATGGCGTCATCATTCTACTAACAATCAGAAACAAATTTCTCAGGATTCCTATCAATTATGCTGTCGTGAATTTGTCCGTCGCAGACATGTTCAGCATAGTAATTGGACTTTGTCCTGCCATGGATGTAAACCTCCAAGGATATTATTTCCAAAGCAAGGCATTCTGCACCATCCAAGGTTTCTGTCTTACTTTGTTCGGTAAGTGTTTGCTCCCCACCTCATCTAGATTGGCAGGTGTTATTTCTAATGTGATTTCTGCTGCATACATAATAGAATCGTCTATCTGCACTAGTTACATTTAGACACACAAAATTCCATGCTGCAAATATAAATAGAAATCAATTATTAGACATAGCAAAGATAATCTGTCTTCAGCTATGCGGGGGTGGGGGCAGTCAGTCAGACTGAGATCAGAATTGCTGCTGCTTTTTTGCTTTGCAAAAGAAAAAGTAATAAGCAGAAACAGTTTGTTCACATTTGTTCCAGTTTAAGATATAGGATTCTGTGGTGGCTGCTAGACCCCATTGTGGGACAGACGGCATGGCAACTGGTTCTGGGTGGATCCAGGAACAAAAGTGATTGTTCAGTCATTCATGCATATATACACAATCACACACCACCCCCTGCCCAAAGGCAGGCCAATATTCCAATGGGAGATACAGAAATATACATACAGGCTCTCTGTATCTGTGAGAAGCAGGCAGCATAAGGGTAGCCTTAGCTCAGGGTGGGGCAGTGTCCCACTTTCCCTAAATGATGAGCCAGCTCTGAGACTGTTGTTAAAAAGCCTAGCAATGTAGATGGGTCCTAGGAGAGGCGAGAGCTGTCATGTGGCTGAGAGCTTTTCAGTTTATAAAAGCAATAAGTGGAAACTGGCTAAGAAAGGATAAAGTGGTGAACTTTCCTTAGGAGGCAGAATTACAACATCTCTACAAGGGGCAGCAGTGCAAACTGTGAACCCTCACCATACTGAATAAATTACTAACCAGGATCCAGAATGTGGTTCTTGGGAAAGATGTGGAAGTGTGTGGTAGCTTCTCAACACCAGTTTTCTAGGTGAGATGGATTATCCAGATATTTCATCTGGTTTTATCAGACATTTCTGCAACATTCAATATGATCAACCTTCTAGACCAGGTTTCTGAGATTGGACTTATAGGGACACTTCTGTAGTGATCTCAGTTCTTCCTGAATGAGTTCAGAAGGTGCTGCCAGTGGCTTCTAAGGCTCTCAAAGCTCTGTTCTTGTCCTTCATACTGTTCAACATTTACATGGAACTACTATGTAGACGTGGCTGCTGCGAGTTAAACTGCAGAGGCAAAGAGGCAGTCACAAAAGCAGCAAAACCAGGGAGCTGGACAGGGGACAGATTGGATTTGTCTTCAGCGTGGAAGGGATTGTCACTCTCGAATTGGCTTTCTCAGCCACACTAGGCGCTGTTTCAAGACCTACCACTTCGGTGGGAAGGGAACGGCGTTCCGTGTCTAAGTCGCGCTGACCACGTGACCATGGAAACTACAAACAGCCTGAAGAAAACACAAGTCATGGGCCAGAGCGTGGACCCACCTCCTTCTATTACCATCTCCACACAAGAATTGGAGGTTGTTCATGACTTTGTGTACCTTGGCTCAACCATCTCTGACACCCTCTCTCTAGATGTCGAGCTGGATAAACGCATTGGGAAAGCAGCTACCATGTTCTCTAGACTCACAAGGAGAGTATGGCTCAATAAGAAGCTGATGGCATACACCAAGATCCAGGTCTATAGAGCCTGTGTCCTGAGCACACTCCTGTACTGCAGTGAGTCCTGGACCCTTTGTGCACAGCAGGAGAGGAAGCTGAAAATGGTCCATATGTGTTGTCTCCGACACATTTTTGGTATCACATGGCAGGACAAAGTTCCAAATAGAGTAGTTCTAGAATGAGCTGGATTTTTTAGCATGTATACATTACCGAAACAGCGACATCTACGTCGACTTGGGCAGATCATGAGAATGGCTGATGGTCGGATTCCAAAAGATCTCCTGAATGGAGAATTAGTGCAGGGAAATCACCCCAGAGGGAGACTACAGCTGTGATACAAGGACATCTGCAAGTGAGATCTGAAGGCCTTAGGAATGGACCTCAACAGATGGGAAACCTTGGCCTCTGAGCGTTCAGCTTGGAGGCAGGTGTTGCATCACGGCCTCTCCCAATCTGAAGAGACCCTTGTCCAGCAGGCCGAGGCAAAGAGGCAGTCAGAAAAGCAGCAAAACCAGGGAGCTGGACAGGGGACAGATTGGATTTGTCTTCAGCGTGGAAGGGATTGTCACTCTCGAATTGGCTTTCTCAGCCACACTAGGCGCTGTTTCAAGACCTCCATACAGAGCATGTTACCATAGTCTCTCGAGACTGAAAGATGCCTAACCACATGGGGATGCCTTTGATTAGAAAGTGATTAGAAAGTTCCCTTGGCCCAACAGGCTAAGGACCTAGAGTTGAGAGAAGCCTGCCATAAGACATACAAGGCCTACTTGTTACAATAGTTTTCCTGACTAGCAGTCTTTTCCCAGTAACAGTTAAACATGCTGGTTATGGTCTATACAAATCTTATATGGCTTGAATCCAAGCTATCTGAAGGATTGTCCTCTCATTTGATCCTGCCAAAAAGGTAGCATATGAGATAGACAGACAGGAGTTTTGGTATTTTAGTTTCAAATTTGGGGAATTCCCAGAATATGTATGTATGTACAGCCTTCTTCAGTGAGGTGCCCTCCAGACATGTTTTACTTCACCTTCCATGATCCTCCATCATTGGCCATGTTAGCTGGAGCTGATGGTAACTGCAGACAAAAATATTTGGGGAGTATGAGATGGGAAAGATGGCTCTAAGGAAACGTGTCACATTATGTAACCTGGTTGTCAGATAGTGTGGAAAGGAAATCTACACCTGATTTTCACAAAATTGTTCCATTCCTTGAAAGTGAATGGTTTGGATAGGTTTCTAATGGAAGAAGAGGTTCTCACAAACTAATGTCAGAGTAAGAGGGAGGAAAAGGTCACAGCACCAGTATCCTTGCTTTTGGCAGCTTCCTTGTGAACATGTCTAGTGCTCTGTGGTCTGAAACTAATTCAGAATTGAAAGATCTTCCTGTTAAAACCTAGAAGAAACAAAAAGAGCTAGTCTCATTATATGGACAGAAAGCCTCAAGAAATGTCTTTTGTAGGGAAAGAGGAGATAACAGAAGGGCAGATCAATCGACTGAATTACCAGACAGTTCTCTTGCTGAGAGGCCTGGTATTTGACACCTCCCTCCTTGACCAGCTGGCTTATATTGTCAAGCTGACACCCACCCTTCCCATCAGTTACCTCAGTCACTCAACGTGCCTCTTTTATTTCACTTCACAAAGCACTAAAACTTACATTGTATCATGGCTATAGACTATGATACAGGAAATTGCCATTCAAATCTAATCTCTGCTATCAACATACTAGACGTTCTTAGGCAAATCATTCTCTCTGAGCTCCTCATCTGCCACGTCAACCACACATGCAGTTGTCAAAATTAGTGACCTAATGTACGTGAAGTGATTTCAACAATGAGTAGTCTACAAGTCTTGTTGCTCTGCTTGGCCTCTGATAAGGCATTGCCTTAACAACCAAGAGTCTTGTGGCGGCTTAAAGATGAACAAGGTTTGTTTGGCACCACTCCTTCACATGCATAAAATATACTCTCGTAGAAGGGTATTCAATTATTTAAATGTATCTCTTCCGAGGCTACACTCCATGTATTTGAGGAAGTGAGCCATAGTTCACAAAACACAAAAAGTGTCAAGTCACCACAGGATTCTTTGCTTTTTGGTACAACAGACTAAAACAGACTACGGCCTTAAAAATATATATATCAGACCTAATTTTCCTGAGTCCCATCAGGCAAAAATCTGGCAAGAGGATAATGATGATGACAATGATGATGCTGATCATCATCTTAAAACTGCAAAGGTGGAAGAGACCCTATGGAGGGATGACTTGGAGTGTGTCTACTTATGCAATTAAGTGAGGGAATGGCAGGGCAGTGTTCCATGAGGAATCATTTCATCCTGTCATAATAAAAAAGGCTTCTTATCTTTCCTGGCCCTGCTATGGGCAGGAGAAAGGGATATTTTCTCAAGGTCTTGCCACTCTCACAAGCAAATTTGGAGTGGCTGAGAGAGAAGACATCCTTGGTGGCGAATCCCAAGTTTTAGAATTTCCTGCCAAGGATGACTGTTACATCAATAAATGTCTTCATTATGGCAGCATCATAGAAAGGTTTCAGACTGTGTTTTCCCAGGAAGCCAATACACATGCATGACTATGTCCTCTTCCTGCTATAGGGCTAGTGGCCCTTTGGTCAGCCGTGGCATGTGCTGTGGAGAGATACCTAGTGGTGTGCAGGCCATTCAAAGCCATCAAGTTTGGGAAGAAACATGCTATCCTGGCCCTCTTGTTCGTCTGGTTCTGGTCTACGATGTGGACTCTTCCACCACTTTTCGGCTGGAGCAGCTATGACATGGAAGGCATTGCCTCAAACTGTGCCCTTGCATGGCACACAGAAGGCTGGAAGAGTCGCAGTTACCACCTCTCTCTGTTCATTTGCTGTTTCCTGGTTCCTTTCACTCTTATCTTCTTGTCATACAGCAAACTCATCTGCACTCTGAGGAAGGTAAGTCAACTACCCTGGTTTCATGTAACAGACAATAGTTCACTTTTAAAGAGTGTGTCCAGATTGGCCCTTCTGGTGCAGGCTGGTTCAGGCTAGTGCCATTTAGACAGGTTCATTTGAGGTGGTGGTGGGGGAGGAGCAATACACACTTGTCCCATCCAAATGGCCAGAAAAACCTATTCCTGGTATCCTGAAGTGGCAGGTTTGTGCAAAGCCAGAGTTATGGGGAAAGGAAATGACAGTGGGTTCAAGTATGGCTCAGAAAGGCAGGCAGCAGAGTCAGAGAAAGAGAGAGAAAAAAGAGAGAGAAAAGCCATACATGGAAATACAAGGGACAAAAAAACAGCTGATCACTGGTTGAAAGCAGACAGACTCCCATCTGCCCTTTTTGCTACACCAGGTTTGGAGGGGGGAGAGAGGGAGGGAGGAAGAGACCGAGAGAAAGGAGTGGGTAACCCAGAAAAGGAGGAATGTGCCATCACCCACCAACCCCTCCATCACACCGATGGAGAAAAAAAGAAAGGGATGCCCCCCTTTTGCACCTGATATTGTCCCTACCCACCATATTAGGCTCACTATAAGCTGGATATTTATTTATTTATAGTATTTAATTTATGCCCCACTCAACTAATGGTGAACCACTACTCTGGGGGGGGGGCTACACAGAATTAAACATGGTTATAGAAACAAAATAAAAACAACAATCTTAAGAAAAAAAACATCACAACCCAACAAAACCTAATTATATAATATGACCTGATGGGACATCACATGCACACAACAGAAGTTATATTAATTTAGAAGTAATATAAAAAAAACACAGCAAAGCCTACGTGCTGCATGAACATTAAAAGTAGAGGACAAAACAAAAAGTAGCATGACACAATTCATATATCTTGAACTGTAAAAATATCACAAGACTACTAAGAGAAATTTAGATTACAAATTAAAAGTTATCAGAAAATTAAAACTTCTACAACCACCAAATATTTTTAGGACTCCTTCACTAACTTATAAATCTTCCTTCATTCCTCTTGAGCGTAGAGCAAATTAAACAGGACTAAATATTTAAAATTTTGGCTGCATTCCATGAATGAGTTTCTAGCCTATAAAAGTTTATGCTCTGGTCAGATTAGCCTCAAAGATGCTACTTGGCTGAGACTTTAAAAACAGTTAGACCTATTGAGTTTCTTAAAGATACAGTAACAGCATAATTCAATGCATGTCTCCTTAAAAAAATCCTTTGAAGCAAATTAGATTTATTCCCAACTTGGCCTCTCCCAATTTGAAGAGACCCTTCTCCAGCAGGCAGAGGCAAAGAGGCAGCCCCGAAAGCAGCAAAATCAGGGAGCTGGACAGATTGCATTTGTCTTCAATGTCACTCTCGAATTGGCCTTCTCAGCCACACTAGACGCTGTTCCAAGTCTTCCATACAGAGCACATTTATCATAGTTTTTCAAGACTGAAGGACGCCTACTTTGAGAGCCTTATGCAATATTACCAGCACTAGGCAACATATGGAAGATCAGATGGGCAGTTACGCCGATGGGTCCCTTGAAAAGGTTTGTTCCCCAGTTTCTCATTAAAGCTGCAGCCTTATTGCTTCCCATGAACAGGACTGATGTTTGCGCAGGTACTCTACAACACCCATGTGGCTTAGCAACCTTGGGAATGGCACCCCCACACTGGGTAACAATACCTTGACCACACTTTGTGATGTCACTTTTCATCAACTTTATAAAGTCTCCAGCAGAGACTTTAGGTAGAGTCATCATGTCCTCAACAGAGGAAAGCAGCTTGGCAACAACTCCTGAAAACCAAAAAGTGGAAAAGACAGAAGACCTTTCCTCCAACAAAACAACTGGGGTGAGGAAGTCAAATCTATTTCACTGGACTGAG